AATGTAATGTAATGTATGTGTGTAGGTAATGTATGTGTGTAGGTAATGTATGTATGTATGTATGTATGTATGTATGTCAGTCTGTATGTATGTATGTTTGTTTGTATGTATGTATATATATATATGTATGGATGGATGCATGCATGCATGTATGTATGTACGCATGTATGTATGTGTGTATGCATGCATGCATGCATGCATGGAAGTCTTTAATGTATGCAATGTATGTAATGTACGTAATGTATGTAATGTATGTAATGCATGTAATGTATGTCGCGTATGTAATGTATGTAATGTATGTAATGTATGCAATGTATGCAACGTATGTCATGTATGTCATGTATGTATTGTATGTAATGAATGCATGTATGTAATGCATGTAATGTATGCATGCATGCATGCATGCATGCATGCATGCATACTTTAAGATTATTCGGAGTCTTGGCCGGGTCTAGAGTTCATTCGACATTGCTTGATACCCTCAGAAGAGCCAACTCGGCCGAGTCTGCAAAACACCTTAACCACCCTAAGCACTGAGCCCTAAACCCTGAACCCTGAACCGAGAAGTGGAGCAAAAACACAACTCAGCCGATTTTGCAGGCAGGTTGCGGCCGCTCCGGCGGTTCTGGGGCAGTCGAGCCTGGAAGCTCCGAGCGAGTCCGAAAAGCTCGCTGCCTGAAGCCATGGACAGCTGAGTCCCTGGAGTGTACGGGTTTTGTAGTTGGGGCCCATGGGAGTTTGGGTGTTTTATGCAGCAGACGTAGCAGTCAATCTCGAGGCTCAGAAGGTTTCGAACCATGGAACGCTAAACCTGCAAACCCTGAGCCCGGCCTAGCTTTGTCATCCAAGGCAAGCGCCACAGACCGTGGAGATGTCCGATGGGACACCAGAACCTTGACTTGCATTTTATCTAGGTATCAAAGGCTTCTTTTCGAAAAGCGAGACAACATATGAGGACAGCATATGACTTGAAAGCACTGCATCTTGATGGCACATGCTTGCAGAGCGCAGAGTGTTGTGCCCTGCCTAAGGTTGCCCCAGCAGCACAAGCGGTCATGGGAGGAAGCTGTGCTACCAACGTTGCCAGCGCGAACGGCTCAAGAGGGCCAGATCGAATGCTGAACAAGCTCCCGTGGCAGCATCAATGGGAATGAACGCATTCAGCCAACAAGATATCGGGAGGTTTGCTTTCAGACGAACAATTAGCATGTTGCAGCACCGACTTGCCGAGGTTTGTTGTGGTTTCAAAGTCCTGCGTGCAGAAGCTTTCCTGATTCTTCAGCCTCTCGTTTTCTTCGGCACTTCAGGCTCTTGGCACAGCCCTGTTCGACACGACTGCAAACACTCCAGCGAACAGGCGCGAGCTGAGTGGTTTGGCCGTGAGCTCTTACGTATCCATTCTGCGCAGGCATCTCTTGGCTTAGTGGTTTCATGCTACTTATTCATGCCGTTCAGGTTACGTCTCTCCGCTTCCTCCAGGGCCACAGGTGCAGCTCGTTCTTCATTTTGCAGACGGGCACAGTGTAAGGGGATTAAGATGATAATGATCAAGAGCCTCCTCAAGCGAGCTCCTGGAAACAGAAGCAGAGGCAAAACGTGCTGTACTGTATCTCTAGACTATATCATGGTATGGCACACCGCACCTGATACTGCATTACGGTAAATAAATACATTCAATAAGAAACGGCGTAGATGAGTTTAGACCCTGGAATTTTCTTATGGGGGCTACCTACAAATAGGAAATATGAGATGGGTTCAGGGTCTGATTAAATCTCTAAATTAGTGCCCCAATCCCAGCCTTTGGAGGGCTGGAGGGTTGAGGGCGAGAGGGTTGGAGGGCTGGAGGGTTGGAGGTTGGGCTGCAGGGCTGAGGGTTGGAGGGTCGAAGGTTTAGAGGGCTGGTTGGAGGGTTGGGGCTGCAAGGTTGGAGAAATTTTTGACTGGCTGGGCCTGGAGCCTAGGAGGGTTGGAGGATTCGAGGTTGGCAGGTAACAGGGGAAAGGGTTGGAGGTTGGGGTTGAGGTTGGGGGGGTTGCTTGATTAAGAAATTGTGTGACATCTGGACGCTGAGCTAAGAAATTTCGATCTAACTAGACCCTGATTTCTTGTTTGAAACGATTTCTTAATAAATGCGTGTACCGTACACTGAACTGATTCCTGTCGCACATCACAGCAGGGACTTGGTTCGGACTAAGTGCCCGAGACACTTCTGCGATCTAAGGACCCTCGCCCATCCAACGTATCCAGAAGCCGGGCCGGGCCCTGAGATGTCAGTTAAAACACTTATGCAGCATAGTAGTACAGTAGCATACTGTAAAAAGGGGGCATACTACAACAAATCATAGTGTAGCAGATGGGAAGGTTGAATGTCAAGATAGATTGTTTGCAGCCTGCAGCCTGTCTTTTGGACCCTTCAAACCCCTTTACTGGCCGTCGGGGTGAGCGCCAGATAAACACAACTGAGGCAGTTGGTGGCTGCTCCACCAGATGCAGGCATGCACCGTGTCAGTGCTGCGGTCTTGTAGGACGAGAGCTTCACAGAGTGCAAGCTTTGGCTGTGGTTGCATCAAAGTGTTCCTTATTCTTGTGCCTGCGTATAACACCATAGCATCCACGATTTATCTATTGACTTAGCTGCCTTTTGCATTGCTTTTAGCCGATTGCCATCATGTAGCGGCATCTGGCAAGACTACATGACAGGCAACTTGCCAGAATCCGTCGCCTTGCCTCTGCAGTTCGAGGCAGTGGCCACATTGGCGGAAGCGGTCGAGACTGATGGGTGAGGTCTCATGTTTGATCCCCTTTGCATTCTGTCGTGTGCACAGGCCGTGGAGGAGTACCCGGGCTTCCAGGTGCCGATGGCACCGAGGGCTGCGCAGGCTCCCATGTGTGGCCGGGCCCCTAGCACCCAAAGGGATTTATATAATATAATGTAATATAATATAATATAATCAGGAACACCAGCATTTGTTTTCAGCCATAGCCGAGATTGGAGAAGAATTCACAACGAATCCAACTTCCTAGACTTTGAGGTTCCGCCTCGGTCCCTACTGCCCCGTGGGTCGCATGCTTAGTGGTGGCTGCAAGATTTTTGGCCTGCGACGTCCCCGCTTTCCATCGAAAAGCGTCGTTCCAGGTCTTTGCACGGCCTCAGACAGACGTCCTCTCGAGGCGAGGCAGCAGCTGGGTGCCGATGCTGTCCTTAGCCGTAGCGAGAAGCAGAGAGGACCGCAGAGTGGAACACTTCGCGCACGTGTTTGGGAAAGAAAGTTTTCTTGCTCCGGGAGGTCGGCGGCCCAACTTCCAGTTCAGGCACCGCCCCAAAGGAGACTTGGATGCAAGGTGCGCCTAGGTCAGTACATAGCTGGCAGCAGCCTCCCGAGGTTATAGTCACTGTATCAGAAACAGAGGCTAAGACGTTGCAGGGCCGGTCCTGGTTGCTTTGCTTTTGGTGCTATGGCTGCGAGAGAGAGTCCTGCAATGTATGGGCATGAGGCAGGGCGTACCTCCGCCGCCAAGTCGAAGCGACAGTGCTCCAGTTGTAGGCAGGTCCGAGCCGCGGATGCATGTGAAGAGCTATGAAGAGCTCTGAAAGATGTGCTTTCCTGATTGTCTCGGTGATACAAGAAAAAGTGTTTGATGATGTTTGCTTCCCTGCTCAGCACAGGCCTCTGTGAACCCATCACCTTGGCAGCAGCCGAGCCGAGAGCGTCTGCAGAGCCAGTGGCAAGTTACTCGGCGAAAGTACACATCTCAACAGCAGCTCGACGAGCGGTGGAATGTTTCTTGTGGCCTTACATGCAGTCAATGTAGTCCACACTCTGATGCTGTCAAGTTTTTTGCGCCTTTGGATGGCCACTCAGTTGCGGTGGCCGCTGACAATGAGCAACTTGGCATCGACATGCATCGACTGTTCAGGGCAGAAACTTTAAAACGCTTTGCCAACCAAACTCACGGAAACGCTCCATGCTACGAGTCTCGAGCTGCTCCTCAGCATCTTCAATTTCGCATCGTTTAGACACAGCCACAGTCAGCCTGCTGCAGTGCTGCCTCGTCGACGCGGTCGCCCACCTGGGTCAGCGCCCTCAGTGGCTTCGCTGACCCTGCTGAGGCCATGCTGGAGGGCTGGAAAATGTGGACTTTCTGGGAGCCGTTCGTCGGACAAGAGTTGAATCTTGCAGGTGGGGAAGCCAGTCCGCGATTGGACAGAGGACGCTCTTTCACAGAGTCAAGGTCCCTGTAGTGGGTTTTCGTCGGCCTCTGCAAGCGCCGGGACAGTGTAGAGTGTAGATGTACGGTCAGAACAGATTGGTCCACAGAGGACTGCTTCCTGTGCTGACGATGATGCTCTTTACGTGCCTTTGTGGTTCCCGGGTCATGCAGGTCCTGGCTTGGTGTGCAGCACATGGATGAATAGTTCATGTATCTGCAGACACATTGACATGAATACCTGATCCTGAGTCCCAGCAAAGCCTACCCCACCCCCAGCCCCTCAAGTTGAAAAGGTGCTGAGGAAATCGGTGCTTAGAAATCGAAACGCGATCCTCGGGACCGTCGTTACTGGGATCGCTGTCACAAATTTTAACTGTGGTGTCGCGTTCTTCGTGACCTTGTCGAACTTGGGCGAGTTTGGGACATGTTGGGGGGCAACTTGGCGTCTCAAACGTAGCAACCCTGTCTGGCACGAAGTGGTAATTGCGTGACTGTTGTTGCTTTTGTGGGGCCAGGGTTGCGAGAAATCGCTCCCACACCACAGGGGTGGGGACAAGGCGAGGGACGTCGATGTCATGATCCACCGGATGACGAATGCTTCCGTTCACGGAGAGGGGAGAACACCGCACCGGAGCAGGGGAACAACACTGCAGCCAGGGACCACATGGACCACGCCATGTTTTGAGGGGGGGATGTTTTCCATGGTCGAAGCGTGCAGATAGGATTGAAGTGAAGCAAGTAAAATGAAACCCTCAAATCCATATGCTGCAAAAATAATCCCTTCATTCCCTTCGAATAACGACATGGTCGCTGCTTGACAACACAATGGCTGGCAAGTGCGCCGGGATCTCGCTCCCCCCATCCCCACCCCGGCCCCTGCAAAGACGATCCCAAGTAGTAACTGATGTACAGGGAGGCCTTTGACGCAATAACCATACAGCAGCACGAAGGTGTGCTGCTCATGTGCACTTAACTTAAGTACATTGGCTGCCCTATTCTGCGCAGGACGATGTGGCGCAGTGGCTGATGAAGCTCTCGACTGTACCAGCAGACATCCTGGATGTGGCCGCCGAGCTGAGAAGTCAAGCATGTTTATGAACCTTAGTGCAGACCCGCTCTTTTGATCAGGATTACAACAGGGATCTTGATATTCATGCTTTATTGATCAGATGTCTACTTCAACCATTGGTCCTCGTGGACTTTGCCGAAGAAGAATCCGTACATCACGTTATCCCAGAGCACAGAGCCCAGCCAAAGCCAAGGTTCACTTGCATGCCATTTCTGGGGCTGTGCTGCTCTCCATGACAGAGGAGGACCATAGCAAACGGGTATTGGGCTGTGTTGGGAGCTTTGGAGCCGTGGGCAGTGTTCCTTCGGGCCGCCTCGCGCGCAGGATTTGGAAGGCCTCCGCATCGAGAAGTTCGGTCACCGCAGGCTAATTGTGAAATTGCTCAGCCAGCATGGTCTCACGAAACTGGTAGCAAGAAGTGATGTGCGCAAGATACCTCTCCTTAGGACTTAGGACTGTACCATAGATGTGATTCCCAACTTTGCAAAATCTCAACCCCATCTGAGTCTGTGTCTAACACATGTTGTGGCTTTGTTAACACTGTATTGAAGCCGCTTCCTCTCCCTACTACTGCAAAAACTGCGACGACGACGACGACGACGACCACTACTACTATGCCACTTCTACTGCTACTATCTGCCACTGCTGCTGCTGCCACTGCTGCTGCTGCTGCTGCTGCCGCTGCTACTGCTACGACGACGACGACAACCAAAACCACCACCAACCACCACCGACTGCGACGACATGCGACGACTCCTACGACGACCATTTGCCAAAGCTATGTGATATGATTCCGATGGTGCTCACATTGCCTCTCTCATGCTGACATGGATGATAATCACTATCCTTGTGACTATTGGCCGGAAGCCTCTATGTCTGCCATTTCTAGTGATTCTAGTGGTTGAAGTTGATGACTGAGTGTTCTTGAGATTGATGCCTTCGCCATCGGGTCGCCACTGGCACAAAAGGCCTTCCCCATCCACTGAGCACATCAGACTGTGAAAGAAGACCACACCTGGCACAGCTCAGCTAAATGTAAGGTGTAACTCAATGCATGCCCAGCCTCAAGGAACGAACAAGTAGCACTCATCGAAAAAACAGGGCATGGACCCTAAACCAAACCCAAGCGGTGGAAGAAACGGCGCATGGTCGAAGCTCGAATTGACTCCAAGTGGCTTTCCAAGCCGGGTTTGGGATTTAGGATTTAGGATCCCGAACAAACCTGCTGAAGGTTGCTCCTGCTGGCTGCGCAGGAACTTCGGCGCACGGTTCAGGTACCAAACAGGGACTTGGGAAAAGGACAGATATTCAATCAGGGAGGGTGTCGGTAATGAGAGTCATGGAAACGAGCTTTGGAGGGAGGTGCTGCAGAAAAGGGCAAATGAGAGTTCAGAAGTAAAGCACCCTGATGTAAACCCTAAATATTAGGTGGGGTACAAGGACCCCAAGACGAAGCACCCCAAAGGTTAACAGTGTTTAGCAACAACCCATCAATCCTTCATCCTTACATGCCATCTGGAACGGTCAGGACCTCCTTAATTCTAGCCACAAAACCCCTAAACTCAAAGCCCGCAAAACCTAAAAGGCCGAAAGCACTGAACCCTTGAAAAGAAGTTCCAAGTTTCTAAACCCTCGAACACCAAACCCCTAAAATACCCCCGAAGTAAACCATAGAAACCCCAGAACCCTGAACCCTAAAACTACGCCCTACATCCTAACAAAAACCCTGAACCCTCAACCCAATGACGGTTTAGGTCCTAAATCCGTAAAACCCTAAAACCCTAGTAATCCCTAAACCCTAAACCCCTTAAAGAAACCTTAAGAAACCCCAAAAACCCCTAAGCTACGCTTTCTTTCAGGTGGCCCAGGACAGGCCAGGTCCCGGAGGCCGCTTGGTGAGTTCAATTGACCATCCACGGCTTGGGGGGTTTGGGGTTTGGGGCTTGGGGCTTAGGGTTTGGGATTT